TTCAACACTGAGGCTGCGCCTCTCCTCCCAGCCCAACCAACACTCAAGGACACTGAGAGGCCAGCAACATTAATGCTGGATGATAAGGAGGGGTAGTGGGGAAGACTAGGATGCGGAGGAGCATGACAGGGAACTACCAGGCTCCCAGGACATTTTTGGGGTCCCCCAGGATGACCACATGACAGAAGACTTACAGGGATGGTGTGCATGACATGGCAGACATGTTGGAGGGGATGGAATTGAAGGAAGAGGCATTCTTTAAACAACGTAACATTTTATTGCACAATAGACCAAGAGCAGTTGAGATAGAGCAGATGTGAAACCTGACTTTTCCAGGTCCATGTTCAAAGCAGACACAAAAGAATAGGCATAAGGGTTTATGAGTAAGTGTTTGTCAAGCCTTGTCTACACACAAACTGGAACCAAAAACTAAAGTGGTCGTGATTTACACTGTTAGCCACAAGTCAGTATGTGGACATGTATTTCAAGAATAGGAGTGTCCTATTTCAGTATTCATAGACAAGATGTTTAACTATTTCATTCTCTCACCTGCTATGTAGTTTTGAGGACTTTTCTCCACAGCAAAATGAATTGAAATGGCTCTGTTACAGCCCCTGTCTCTTCTGCTTTGGCTAACATTGATCTATCTGAGGTAACATTTTAATCTAACTCCAAAGGAAGACAATAAAAAGGTCTTGCAGCCAGTGCTAGGCATAAGCAGACGATACATTGCTTAGGGCCCCCGGGGGACCCCTATTAATTAATAGTATGTGTTGTGGGTGGGGTGGCCCCAAAAGTATTCCTGCTTAGAGCCACCAATGGGCTAGCACTGGCACTGCCTGCAGCCCAAGTGAAATCCTCAGTGACATCTATGCCACCTTCACCACTTTGCTCCTAGTTGCCTTCATAGGGCTTGTACTAGTATGACTGACAGAACCAGCTGGATGGGCCACTCTTAGCTGGTGTAATTGCCGGCTGGTTCCCTTTTCCTCTCACCAGGGCCGACCCTAGACCAAATGGTGCCCCAGGCGAGGAGCGTCTTCAGTGGCCCACGCTTCATTTGTTAAACTTTTGAATACCTTATTTTTTATTGCATTTGTAGCCCATTTCATGGCTTTGATGCACAATTTGCATGTATGAGTTATCCCTGTCATATAGTCACTACTTGCACTCTTCAAGTCTTAAAACACAAGTATGCTTTCACAATTACACAAGGTTCACAATATTGCAGCTGGGCTCTCACTTCAGTTTGTTCTTACTCACTGACTGGCGACGCCCTGCCCCTTGTATACCCACGAGGGCATGGCTGACAACATTCTAGGAGGCTCCAGGAAAATGTAGTTCTCACAGTCTGGAAGGTTCCATGAGATTCTACAAAGGTCCAGAACATTCTAGGTGGTTAGTAAAAAGTTGATCCACATACAGAATACCTGAAATGTTACTTCAAACATTCTATTTTCCCTTTTGTTGCTAACACCAGAAACAGCTTCCCGAGCCCAGCGCCCCCCAAGCCTGGAACTCCATGCGGCCACCTGGGTTGCCTGTCCCTAAATCCAGCCCGGCCTCTCACTCCCTGAGGCTGGTGTCTGTTTCCTCTCCTCCACATTGGACTAAAGTGGAGGAAGTCACAGTGACGCCTCATCACCAGCTGCTTTTACAGGCTCTACTTAAAAAGTAATTTACCAAGGGACGAAGAGAGGCATTTGGTTAGTGATTGCTTCTCCTCCATTACCGCCTCAGAAACATCAGACATTCCACCTTTTTTTTTGTTAATAAAACTTTAGAAATAGCAGCTGTGCCTTGAAGAAGCCAGCAGCTGCTCTCCTAGCCCTTAGTCTAAGGTGTGGTGGTGTTTGTTAGGCATTTAAATGATGGAGTAAAAAAAAAAAATTGAGCCTAAACCCCTCTCCTCCAGCAGATTAGCTCCACTAGACAGTTTGGGTGCGGTCAGTGGCATTCATTTTACTAAACAAAGTCTCTTCATTGTCACGTCGTCCCCCTCTTCATTTGTCTGTTGAATACACCGGTTGTCTCGTTATATGCCAAGGTTGGAAGCTCTTTGGGATGGGAATATAAAAAAAAACAAAACATCCCATTCCTAGCCCAATAGAGCCCTGATCCATGCTGGGAAACCTCTAGCTACTAACACAATAAAAAGCTCTTCATTCAGGCACAGTATCCTTCCAGAAAAATGGTACCCACTCATCCAAGTTACTAACGTAAAAAACTAGAAAGCTAAACAAACCCCATGAATCCCTTCTTCAAGGCTTAGCAGCCCTGGAGAGGCCTTTGTTGTTTAATGTGCAGTGAAAGTGCTAAACTGCACAACTTTAAATCCAGACTGGCGCGTGTGCTCTCTCTCTATTCTCTACCTCAAAGAGCAGTTATTGGGTGGTATACAGGAACTCCTGGGTGAAATCCTATAAGTTGTGATATACAGGAGGTTAGACTAGATGATCAATGTGGTCCCTTGTGGCCTTAAAAAAAAAATCTATGAAGCTGACCGAACAAAGATGCAGAGAGAAGATGCAAAAGTTTTTTGCAAAGGGCTTCTTGGCCATGTGTACTGAGCCCTCTCCACCTATACGTTATATGGGAAACAAACACATTCACCTTCTGTAAGGGGAGTTGCATGCATTTAAAAGCCCTTATTTTGGTATTTGACAAGGCCAGGTATCACCACCCCTACAACAATCCCCGTTCCTCTCCCCCCCAAAGAAACTGAAAAATGTTATATCACACTTGCATGGCCAAAATTAAAAGGCAGTGATAGAAGAGCCTTATAACTCTGAATTCAGCTAAAACCTGTTTCTTTAAACTGATTGTTAACATTCATACAATATTGACTCTGAACAAAACCAAGTTCAGTGAGAGCAGTCAGGGTGCAAGATACCCCACTGCACCTCATGGGCGCC